AGAGATTTTTATAGCTCTGTAGTTCTTCACCTAAGACCAGCACCATCCCATGAAGTTTCTTCCAACTATACCAACACAGAAGTCTAGCAAGCAAGCACTCGCTTTGCCAAAACCTCAGATCTAATTTCTATCCTGTTCCAGAAGAATCAATTTATCATTCCGAAAACAGACTGCAAGAGTCTTTAAAATACTTTTGAAAGGTAATCTGCCCGTCTGTCCGCGTTTCAAACAGCAGAAGCTCTACCAGTGTTGAGGTTCTGGCTATTTTATGTGTCTTGATGGCATTCACCTTTGCAGATGTTTCAATAATCTGTAATGCCTCCTTATAGTCAAATGTTCTATTTTCTCCAATGAAACCTCTCTCTCGCTCTTGCCACGCTTTCTTAACAACTACTTTTGGCCTCTTTGCAGTCTTACAGATAAAGCTAGTAGTTCTTGTATTGGTTTAATACAAAAGGAGTACAGGTAGGTTTCTGCCATTCCAAACCCTCTCTCTGCTGTGTCTACTTCCCATCCGGGAAACTTTTTTCAAGTGACTGTGTCACTTGTGCTTGCAAACTAAAAGAGTGCATAATTTCTAGTTGTTCCTTACGGCCCTAGTATTCTGTCAAAGCAAGAAGCTAGCCAGCTTGCTAAATTTCTAGTTCTAATTATTAACCAACTGAAAGAGATATCAAATGCAACAAAGAACAAGATGAAAATAAGTCGGTATACTAGTTGCAATAATAGAGTTGCTAAAGTTAAACAATTAAACACAGTTCATTTTTTCGTATTTAATAAATAATATAAAAAAGTGAACCGTTTTTTTTTCTTTTTTTACATTATTGGAAAAAACAGTTTCTTATCTAACTCCAGCAATAACACAAGCAATAAGGAAACCGATTTAGATTTCTGGGTGGACATTCCATATCCCGTCTAAGTGGAGTCCAGTGTGCACAGCCTCACAACTACTGATGACTTTTCCACTCCTGGGGTTGGTCTTCTTTTGTTGTGTTCTGGTTCCACTCACTGTTCATTCGCAAAAAAAAAAAAAACCAAAAAAACCCCAAACCAACAAAAAAACCACAACAACAAAAAAAAAACAAACAAAAAAAACATATTCCTTGGTTAACATTGGAAAAAATCCACAAAAACGTGGCAAGTTTCAACAGCTGATCAAATCATAACTACTCTTGTATCATCATACAGATGTTCAATGTTTGTCACATCAACAGTAACATGGCATTTTATCTTTTGCCTTGTAGAAAAAAAAAAAAAGAAACCCGATAGTATATGCACATACACACACAGAGTACACTTGACAAAAACACTTTTATGTGGTTTACATTTCACTTTTATTTAATCCTCAAAACTGCCCATATTGCAGGGGTTTTCTTGATGAAATATGGAACTGAGCAATTAATTCTACAAAATTATGGTAAAAACTTGCTCATTTTTCTACCTTATTGCTAAGAAACTTTACAGGTGCACAGTTTGTAAAAATAACCCTTTTAAGACTGAATGTATGCACATGCTACAGGATTTTAAAAAAAATGACATTAGCATAGCACCTCCAGATGGGGCAAATGCAGTGCTGAACACAGACAGAATGTTTGCAGTTAGAACTGCTCATTTATTTTACAGCTTCTAAAGGGAAGAAATTCTTCAGTCCTAAAAGGGTTAAGTAGAAACCCTAATATACTTCTTTTTCTAACAAAGCTGCCACTCAATCCCACAGTACAGTGCTTGAAAACAAAGCCAAAAGTCTGGCACAGGAAAGTATACACATTTGTTCAGTACTCATAAACACAGCTGCTTTTGAAAGAAAGTAAATAATATGGTTAATAACTGAAGAGCATCTTAGTTTCAAGATGGACACCTCTATGGAGTCATTTAATCTGCAAGTGGGTAACTTACTTCCAATGGATTATTTGTTTCACTCGGCATTAATATTTTGTATATGGGGAATTCTCTGATTTCTGTCTTGAGTTCATGTCTTTTCAGGTAACCATTCTGACCTTATACGTCTGTGCAATGAAAAGTAGTACAGAATACCATTATTAACACAGTCGTGGGATGCCCTCAGGGCAAATAATTAGGAAAAACATCAGCAGCAGATTATTAAAGACTACACTAGTGTTGAATTCTGAAATGCCGTTCCAAACAAAAGGAAACAAGAAAAGGCATAGCTACATTTGAGCACTTAATTTGCTTTTTCTTCCTAAAGTTGGAACTATAACAACATTCTGAACACAGACTCAATTTCTATGTATATAGAATTAACAGCAGACTTAACAGCTAGACTTGAACAGTTATAATAGTTTCATACTGAAACATTCTAAAAGTAGTTTTATCAAAATCTTGAGATATTGTTAATATCACGAAAATTGATTAACAGCTCACAAGGCCAATAAATGTAACAATATCACCTCACAGCAAAAAGTTCAGGAAGGTAATATATCTGAACAACCGGACACCTTAACAACAGTAAGGACCTGGAAGACCATTTCTGTACTACAGAGTAACTACTGGCAACAATGGAGCCACAAGCCCAAGGGAAAAATGGGGTTTAAAATGGTCTTGTAAGCAGAACTTAATAGTCTCTTTTTTTTCACCCACTTGGCTGTAGTGTGTAGAACAGCAGAAATTAGGCTAAGTCATTAGGTTCTTTACAAGTCAATGAACATAATATCTATCGGGCAAAATTACTGCAAGTAAAGAAACTGAATATAGAAAGTATTGCATTTATATGTAAAAAATTTAAAATAATGAGTATAAAAGCACATGTCAAGTTCTGAAAAGCTACTTTAAATAGTCTTTGAAGGTTAAAAGACTTGCTATGGTTTGCCTACTCTGTGTATATCATGGTTTGTTCTTGAATACCCTCAAAATCTGAGAGAGATATAGATATCTATATCTATATCTATCTATCTTGCTTATTTTAATTCTCAGTCTAATTAGTGATGAAAATCTGTGGCTCTTGAATTAAGCCGTACTGTAAGATACTCATGTGCTTCTAACAAAAACACTGTGAAATGATTCCTGCCACAACACAATTGAAATAAAACTTTATAGCACATACAAAGGTAAACAGATTCGCAAGTAAATGCCAGTAAACAGTTTAAAACAGAGATAAGGCCACAATGAATTCTGCCCTTGGTCACTGAAACAGAGGTGAAGTGAGGCAGTCTTCACTAGTGCTAAGAACCAGCATTGCGACTATGTCATGGGAATAAGTTTCGTAATACAGAACAGCAAATATGAAGGCCTGTGGTAGAGTACAAGCACTTTTTAGAAGGACAGTGGCACTGATTTTACTGTTCGCTAAATATGCTTTATAACCGATTTCTTCCTTTAACCACATTGTTTTCACACACACACAACGGAGCACTAAAAACAAGTAGAATGGAGCGTCAGAGTACACAAATACCGTGCAGAGACAATGCTTTAAAATGGTGGTGGGTGTTGAAACTGGAATAAGTGGTCAGAAATAAAAACCCTATGAAAATGGTCAACAGATAAGCTCGTAAGCAATGCACTGTAGGAAGCCACAGGTTCAGATTTACACAGCAGTTGTGACTCTTGCATCAGGGTATAGAAAAGGCTGAACACACCATAAAATTCGTATTTTGGCATTTAAACGGAAAGATCACACTATCAGAACTTGTCCTATGAGTCTATGCCTAGTTCTGTGACTACAAATGAACTACTGGGGTATACTTTCAAATACAAATGAAGCACGCAGGTCTACAAGGAGGAAAAAACATGGCAAAGGCAAAATGAAAAACAAATGCAACAACCAACAAAGTCAAAGTGCAAATGAGCCTTGAATTTCTGATGGAGAGAAGACTTGAATGTTGCACAAGCTGTTGGCAGGGAGAGAGAAACCCACAGGAAATAAGGATGGGAGGAGTTGACATCTTCATAGTGCTTTTACGATTTTCTATTTGCCCATTTCTAAGTAATAAAATTTACTTCTAGTTATTATGGTATGATCACTTCACAATGAAAGCACGTTCTCAATACAAGTGTTACACTGAAGTCTGCCCTAATTTACTGAACAGTATGAAGAAAAACATGCTTGCTGTGACTCTCAAGTGATGAAGGGCATCACCTACCAATCCCATTTGTAGCACATACTTCTCATGGTATTTTAGTTACATGCCAACAAGACAGAAGACATGCTGCCAAATGAAGTTATTGGGAACATTCCACTTTCGAAATAAAACATTTAACTTACACTTAATACAAATTATGTACAAGATCAGAAAAACCTGAACAGATCCTGAAACATTTTCAGATGCAACATGACTGAGCAAGGAAGAGAGGGAGTAACCCAGTAACAACCCTTCAAAAACACCAACGTATGCCTGTGACATGAACAATCATTAATATGACTGCTTGAGATGCCACTTAAAAAAAAAACTCATGTAATGTTAGAACCTCATGAATTATCACTATAAATACATATTTAAAAAAGGAAAACAGAAATAACTATTAACAATGACTGAAAACAGAGCACTAAAGTTAACATACATTGCATGTATTGCAGGCAAGGCAGAGGCATTTTTTTAAAGCTTTTGCACAGACTTCATATAATCTTAAAAAAAATATGCTGGCCTTTACAAGGTTCTACTTGCTGAAATAAAAACAATTTCAGTTCATAAAAAGTCACAAGACTTCAGTTTAAAAAAAGGAACAGTTCCAGCCACAGACCAAAAATATATATATTTTTTTAAAACTGGAAGAGTATGGTAATTAGATTATACAAGCATGGTCAGGCTTGGAACCTGAATATACTTCAGAGCAAAAGCTCAGAGGAAAAAAAAATATAAACTATTTGGTAACAAAAGTGTACTATATGTTGTGATACAAAAAAGGTATGGTGAAAATGTACCTTTTATACTAAAGCTTATACAAGTTCCTTGGTCCATAAAAACTATGTTGTGTTCATGTTTTCTAGTTTGCTCAACATGTATCCCAGCCACATTTTTTGTTTCTTGCCCATTAAAAAAAAACAGCTGAAAAATAGATTTTCAATAAAGTTCTTAAGTTTCGGATGTTTTTTGTTTTTGTTTTTTTATTGTGGCTTCTATATTTAAGATCAGCACTTGCAGGTAACAAGGTTCAAATAATATCACCTAAAATGGAAAGGTGTTTTCCCATGAAACCACAAAAATTGTTCGGTTCTCTTGAATGTAGCACTTAAAAGTCAGTTAAAGTCCCGACAAACAACAGTAGTTAGGAAACTACAGTTGCTGTAGATGATGTGACATTGGTGGGATTTGTGCTGACGTTTGTGTAACTTCCCTCGCTGTTTGTATTTGTTTCACTGGAAGCCATGAGGCTTGAGTTGGCTCTGAGGATTGCTCCAGCAGCACTGCAGTGTGGTCGTGGCCCTGGTTCCGGTGTGTATGTAAAGGTAAGGCTGGTGGAGTAAATTATGCCATCGTTACGGACCAAAGTTACTGGAACCTGGACTGGCTGACGGACCCACCTCCAACCCTCTCGAAATGCAGAAATGTCTGGAACAACACATAGCATGCTCTCTGCGCATCTGAAAAACAGGAGAGTCAGTGGAGCATAATAAATCTTAAGCTTAAAGAACAGAAGAGAATATTTCTGTTGCAAGGGACCTACAACGATCATCTAGCCCAACTGCCTGACCACTTCAGGGCTGACCAAAAGTGAAAGCATGTTATCAAGGGCATTGTCCAAAGGCCTCTTAAACACTGACAGGCTTGGGGCATCAACCACTCTCTAGGAAGCCTGTTCCACTGTTTGACTGCCCTCTCAGTGAAGAAGTGTTTCCCAGTGTCCAGTCTGAACTTCCCCTGGCGCAGCTTTGAACTGTTCCCATCTGTCCTATCCCTGGATCCCAGGGAGAAGAGCTCAGCACCTCCCTCTCCACTTCCCCTCCTCAGGAAGCTGTGGAGAGCAATAAGGTCGCCCCTCGACCTCCTTTTCTCCAAACTAGACAACCCTCAAAGTCCTCAGCCGCTCCTCACAGGACATTCCTTCCAGCCCTTTCGCCAGCTTTGTTGCCCTCCTCTGGACACATTCAAGTACCTGAACATCCTTCTTAAATTGCGGGGCCCAGAACTGCGCACAGCGCTCAAGGTGAGGCTGCGCCAACACTAAATACAGTGGGATAATCACGTCTTTTGATCAGCAGGATGTGGTTTGCTCTCTTGGCTGCCTATTGAGCCTGCTGTCAATCAGCACCCCCACATCCCTTTCTGCAGGGCAGAAAGTGTACACTTGAATATATACAAGTGAGTACACAGTCTTCAAAACATCCAGTAAAATGTAATCACCATAAGAGCAGTAGGAAATACTGTACCTGTACATGGTTTCAGCTTCCACATCCCCAAACCAGACACGTAAATTTGGAGTGAAGTTCTGTCCTGTAAGTTCCAACATTGCTACATCCCCTCCGCCATTCAACTGGAAAGGGAGTGAATACAAAAGAGAAGGAAATCCACAAAAAACCATGTATTAATAAAACTGAACACCCCTCCCCCAGAAAAGAACTCTTCATACGCGTACAGTAACTGTAACCAGTGCTGTTTCTATCAGCTGGATAAAACTGAAAGAAACACACCTACACAATTGAACTGTAAAGAAGCAACACATCTAAAAGAGACTGCCAATTAATTTGGTATCCTGAAGGAACTTCTAAGTTTTGATAGTGGCTGCTTAGAAGTCAACAAGGTTTTGAAAACAAAGAACAAAGAATCTTTCAGAACACATGTTAGAAGGGCTTCAATTTTTTCCACAGCAGAACGCCGATTTTCTTAATAAGGTTTCAGTCTGGCTCAATTTGGTCTATAATTGTCTGTTTTAAGAGCCAACATAAATTTCTAAATAAGCAAACAGAAGTCTTAAGGATCTCACTTCCACAGCAATTTAAGAAATAAAATTCTTAATGTATAGAACAATATTAACACTATTCCTGTGATGGATAGGCTCATGTATTCTGAAATGCAGGTAAGAAAAATTATTGCAACATAAAGTAATTTTCCTATTTATAAAGCTAGTAAGAATGTTTTCCTACAGTACTCCACAAAGGTACCATGAAGGTTAAATCAGTATGACAAAATAACCTCACATAAATGAGTTTATTCAAAAAAATAAACTTACTTGAAGACTTTCTACAACAGGCACAGGTGTCACTGGAGCATGGACCGGTCCCATCCCCTCATAAAATGTGTATTCTGCTTTGTCTGTGCTAATGATTGTCCAAGAAGCTCCATCATTAATCATTTCTTTATTTGGTTCTTTTGGGCATGGAGTGGCCTTAGAAAGAAAGAAAAGTTTTAGATCTGACCTGTAGACTTGTTTGCCAAGTCAGAGCTAAAAACGAACTCGGGCACTAACAACACCTATTATTTCAAAAACATATTCCCTTACGTTTTTCCTGTAACAAAATGACCTAGAGACACAGTCATATACATTTCAGCAAAAGTAGAAGAAAATTAAAACTTGTGAGAACACTGTAACTCTCACCTATGATGCTGTTACCGCTCCAACCTTATGTTTATTATTGGGGTTTATTTCAGTTCAGCTTGCAAAGTTTTAATGTTATTCAACAGCAATTAACTAACAAATGACAGCAACTAGAAGTAGCGACTTTAGATTTTGTTTTATTAATGCAAAATGACTAAACCAGCTACAGACTGAAGTGGAATACTTTTCATTAGTTATGATTTGCATCTGGCCAAGATTTTTTTTTTCTCTTTTTAGAGAGTTCTTCACCACAAAATGATGGAAAACACAAACTTGTATGTCAGTGTTTGTGCAAAGACATGGGAGAGAAGCTGAAATAATAACCTTGCAAATTAGTTCAAAACTTTCATTGTCTCCTTGTAAATATTAATAAATATTACTATATTAGTATACATACTATATACGTAGATAGACAACTATTTTTTATGGCAATGAAAGCCTCTCTGAACAATTCTATCCTCTAGCAACCATTAAGAAAATTGTGCATAGGTTAAACACAGGCACAGAAAATAATGCGACTCAAAAATTCTGATTTTAATACCTAGATAGCCTTAAAGCTTAATGCAAGAAAACAGAATTTAGGTATGTAACCACAACCTTTACTCTTCCTAACTGTTAGATAAACTTCAGTTAGCACAAATGTACCAGTTCAGATGAAAGGAAGTTAAAATCAAAGCTGCATTCCCATGTGGACTCTTCATTCTGATATGATCATGTAAAAAAAGCACTGAAAACAGCTTGCAAGGGAAGTGCGCAACAAGGATACTAACTACAGATCTTTCCAAGCTCAAGACCCAACTGATACTTTTATTAGAGACATATGGAGCTTCTAAATTACTAGCCCAACTTCAAAAGAGGAACTGTTGTATACTATTTTGATGCATGACATTTTTCCTACAGGTTGATTACAATTCCTGTTGGCATGGACCGACGTACTTCAACTCATGACAAATAAAACCATGGATATAAAAAAATGAATGATGCTGTACAAGATTCTTGACTGGCTTCTTCAGATCTGCTAAACCACTGCAACAAAGTGGAAGGCAAATACCACAGAATTTGTTCTGAAAGTCCTGCTACGTCAAGAATCATTTCAGGAACATTTTACTCCTCCTGCCACAGAAATTCTTGAAAGATTACAATTCCTCTTCATTCCTCTTTGTCACTTCAAAATACAGCAGTTTACCTCCAGGCACTCCCCCGCTCCCTTTCCTTTCCTTTCCTTTCCTTTCCTAACTAAACTTTCTCAACAGGTGGCACTGGAAGACTGAAATGCTTTAACATCATGCTTAGTACCTCATGTATTGACTGGCTTCACATGGAGACAGGATGGGAAACAAAAAATTGCATAACATTACTGGATAAAGGACAGAATTCCCCAAGAACTGGTAAGCACAACAAGGACACAGACAAGGAATCCAAGGAATATAATCTATTTGAATTTAAAACAAACAAACACATACCACTAACACCTCCCTCCCCTCAAAAAAGAAAAAAAAACCCACCCTCAAGAAAGTTCTATATCAAATGATATTAAAGAAATTAAATTATAATGGATTAGAAAAAGTTGGTTGTTTTTTTCTTTGCTAGAAAGCTAATTAAAGGAAAGCAAAAGGTAGAATTTAATACTCATTCTCCTTTCAAAATGCACAAAAGCCAAGTGCAGTACCCTCCTGGAGACTTGTGTTGTGATCAATTTTATTCAACATCCTCACCAGTGTGCTGGCAATGTCAAATCTTCAAACTTCTGCATGATCTTTTTCAGGTAGTTAAATGCTGTCACAATGGCAAGGATTTTATGTCCAGAAGGACATCAAAATGAACATAGAGGGCAAAAAAGGGGTAAGATCTCCAATTTAGATAAAAGAGAGTTTTTAAAGAAAAATTCTGTAGATGATTCCCACAAAACACTCAACTTGGAACTGGTAGTTACAACTCAGGATCCTGGAGTCATCAGGACAGTTTTCTGAAATCACCAGCTCAATGTGCAGTAGCAGTTGCAACTGGCAACACAATACAGGACACCATCAGAAAATACTGACAACAAGGTATCAGATATTATTTTGCCAGTGTAAATCCTTTTTTCACCTAATTCTGGAAAACTGAGTGCAGTTCTGGTCTCCCTGACTAAGAAAGCCATGGTGAAAAAAGAGAAGGTACAGAAGGGGCAACTAAAATCACCAAGGAGCTGCTGACCTTACGAGAAGAAATTGAAGAGACTGTGACTCTCCAATTTGGAGAGAAGAAATTAAGATGTTGATGGGTAAGGTGAACGCAGAACTGCTGCTCACTAAATCCTGCAAAACCAGAACTAGGAATCACTCACATAAACTATTAGATCATTCAAAACAAATACAGCAAAAGAGAGCATCAGCACATTGAAAGCGAATCAAACTGACGGACTACACATCTACAAAATGATACCAAAAGATGAAGAGTCAGGGATGCAGTCTTTAACAACCCTTAATACAAGAAGTGTGGATGCTGGCAGAGTTCAATTGCATTCAACTGCATAAAGCAACCAGGCTTGCCTGCTTCCTGTAAGCACCATCTCCTTGCTGCTGTTAGACTTAGATACGGACTCTGCTCTGATCCAGTAAGGCATTATTTATATTCTTTCTGTATTTTCCAGGCAGGAGACCTTCTAAAGAGAGATCTGGCTGACGCTTCAGCAACTGAATTTCAAGGTTTTTGTAGGTTCATGCTGACTTTTTACAGCTCTCTGCTTTAAGCCTCTAAGGTATCTATACTGGGCTACTTCCATTAACCCAAGAAAGACTTGTCACCCTAAAGTAACATTTGGGTTTGTTGTGGGTTTTTTTGGGGGTTTTTTTGTTTGTTTGTTTTTTTAATTCTGACAACAGTCTGCCTAGACTCCTACCACCAGAACTGTACTCAATAGTAAATGCTTAAGAGCGGGCAGGTGAAAGACGCTACACATGCCTGTTTCTCTCGCCTTGGTCTTCTGGTCCAAAGAAAAAACAGGTCAAATTGTATTTCTCTCCTGCCACTGGCAGGGAGAGGTTAAGTTTATCTTTTATAGTGATTTCACTTACCAAAGAGTGATTAAAGTTACAGCCTAATGTGCAAATTAACATATTTTATTCAGCAAGTAGAAGCAGCAGGTATCTACTCCACTAAAAGAATTCAGAATAGTGGGCTGTCCTTTTATCTAAGCCCTACTCAGGTGGAAAGTTCAGAGCGCTTATCATATTTGGCTCCATGAGTGCTGCAGAAACTGAAAAGTGGTACGACGTCCTGGTAGTCCCACAGGGGATTCCACGATGTTGAACTAAGGCAGCTGTCAGAGAAGCAGGAGTTGCTTCTTCACTCAGCCCTTCCCAAAAAGTACTTCGAGAAAGGTCAGATAGCAAGGCTGATGCTGAATTATTGCAGTTCCAATTTCATAGCTTTCTCTTCTTCTTGACAAAGGTCCATTCTCCTTTACAAAGAAGTATATTGACAGACATAGCTCTGCTACATGCTGTAGGTAGAACCAATAGATCTGGGCCCTTCTGAGCCACAAGTCATGAATATGTTTCCTGAAATATGAACAAAGCTTCTCATATTCTCTTTCCATTGTCCCAATTCAGTACAGAAGCCAGCTGAGCCTTTAACAATCCTTCTTATCCCTTGCCTTAAATTAAGGGAAATCTTTAAGAAGTTAGATTCCATTCCCCCTTTCCAACCTCTACCTTTCTTACCCAAGAAGCTACAGCTGTCCTCCTAAGGAAGTCCCGAGTCTTATCCAAGTGTGGCCATCTTCCTGGAGCACAGCATTATCTCTCAATACCCTTTGCTATTTGAGCTGTCCTGGATGTTTAAAGAAAATTGCAATACTTAGGTATGCCTGAACTTGGCTTGTTCCAGAGTAAGTCTTGTTACTCTGATGGGAATTATCATGCTGCAAGTCTGCTAAAAGCACGTTAACATACACATTAGACTAAACCCACAATTTGTCAGCATATTGTACAAGCTGTCAGAACAACTGTACGCTGTGGGGTTTTTTTTGGTGTTTGGCTTTTTTGTTGTTGTTGGGTTTTTTTTTTTTTTTTTTTTTTTTACAGCTCTCCCTAGGGGTTCAGTCCTGTTACAGTAACTTGCTAGGGATATTTTTCTCTACCTACTGGAGAAACAAATACTTGAAGACAGAGACAGCTATATTCTTTACAGACAAATCAAATTTCTGTGGCTTTACAAATTACTGTGGTCAACTGCCATAGCTGTCTAAGTTTACGCTCTTAACCAAGAGCAAGACAGTGCAACTCTGCCAAGTTCATCATGAAATAAGACCATCATGAAATAAGACTATCATGAACTGTGTTGTTTCTTGTTTGCTATAATCTAGAAATGGACACACAAGTGGTGCGACTCCACTGGCATATGTCAACATGTTAAGCCACAGTATTGTGACCGCATGCACAAGTTGCTAGTGTGTTTCCACATCTTCCACTGGAGAAAACAGAATTGCTTGTCTAGACAGACATGGAACAAAGTTACGAGGAAAGAGAGAGAGATTTGGAAAGGGACAGATAAAGTTTGTTGCTTTCCATCCTCTTGCATTAAAAACCAACTGCAAAACTGGCATTCATACATATTTTAGGAATATTCGGAAAAGCTTCACAACCATGCTTCTCATCTATTGAAATAGTTTTAAACAACTCACTTGAAATTGGATTATTCTCTCCTGGGAAAGGCACAAATACATTCTCTCAGTGTCTTTAAGGTAAAATGCACATTTATGGAGCTGCGATACTGGATCATCTGCATCCAATAACGCTGTTTGTTTATCTACTTTTCGAATTATCTGTGAACGAAAATATATATTTAGGACAATTTCTGTACTTCATTACATTGGAGATTACATATGTACTGCTAGTAAAGGAAGTGAAAGGTCTTTTTATTTTTTTTTTTTTAATTTCCGTGCCTCCTGTTTTAATACCAACATTAGATTCATAATCCTCAATGCTTACGAAACAAGAAAACAACACTGAAGTGACACTCAGTGCTACAGCTCCAATGTGCTGCACGCATATATATCTTATCTTTTTTTGCCATAAGAATGGGCAAAAAAACTTGAAGCTTCAGCAAAATCTACTTTTGTTCCATTTCCTGGTACAAAAGAGCAGTAGGTCAAGTATATATAATAGACTTCTACAGAAGCTTCCACCATTGATAGCATCAACAACATTCTGTGGCAGATTGGTTGCTGAACCAGAACAGTTGAAAAGAAGGATTTACTTTAAAGGTATTGAGATGTCCTTAATTACAGTTTTGCAAACACCACAATCATAGTGTATCTTAACAATAGTTGCTTATTAAATATTACTTAAAGACAACTGTGCAGAACAATTGTTCCTTACATCTGGCAGTTCAGTGAAAAAATAACTGCTGACTTAATTCAGAGCTGTTATACTAATTTATTTTTAAAAAATTAAAAAAGTTATTCCCTTACAGACAGTGGAAATCTGTAGCTTGGAATTTTAACTCAACTTCTAGAAAAAAGTTTAATGCAACATCAGCAGAAGCAGCAGCCAAAGTGCTTGAAGATTTCTAAGCCGACAATCAGAAAGCCAACCATGTCCTCTGGATTTCTAATGATAATAAATGGCATTATTAGCAATATAAGTTTCAAGGTTAACTTGTTTCTTCAAAGTTCTTTGCATTAACCTATAAAATGTCTGCAAGTTACCTTTTCATCCCATCACCTTCAATCAATCTTGTAAGGCAGCATGACAAATGTTGCCAATAGCAAATAAGCCAGGAACCTTTAGCCTAATTTGTTTTAATCTATTTCTACCTACAAATAAGGTTTCTGGAATCATAAATGATGGTATCTCCTTTTGGCAATAAGAAAATATTAACATGAAGCCCACAAATGAAGTGAGATCCTCTTACTAAATTTCATGTGCACTGAACCAGATCAGTAGTAACCAGGTCTGGATTTATCTCTGTCAAATAAAGTGATTAAAAAAAAAAAAAAAATTACTCTGAGCAGGCTATCTTCTTTTTTACCCAAGTTTGATAACAGGAGATAATTTCTCATTGCAGTCCTAGTAAAGTAAGTTTGGGAAGGAGAACAACCACCTGCCTGCAGGGAAGGCTGGTTTTACATTGGCCCATGCTAAGAAGTGTTTCTAGTTAAAAGTGGAATTAGCAAAGCCTTGTATGAAATTCATAATGGGCTGACAAACCACAATTTCACAGAAGAGCTCACATGAAGCATCGTTTATTATCAGTCACACAAAATTCCATGTAGGCTGGCATTAAGAGCATAACACAGAACAAAAAAGTCTGTAACTATCCTTAAATTTATTTATAAAAACCATTACTGTGTATACTTTTTTTGGTTCACAAACCTGAACCAGTTATAATCAATTTTGTATCTGTGACAAAGACAAGGGCTGAAATTGTCTCTTTCTAAAAAAAGTTATTCCAAAGGCATTTCCAATGTTCCATATTTAAAACAGACAGTATTAATAAATGTCCAAAATGCTTTTACAAGCTGATATTGGTATAATTACGCATCCTTAGAAGTACATAGAAGTGCTTTTAAATTCAAATCAGCAGAGCATTTTTAAAAAGCTGTGCTTAACTCAACACATGGAATAGTCCTACTGGCTGCAAAGACTTTACTTATCTATTCGATATCAATATTTAAAGTACTTTGCTACACTGGGACCTACATTACCGTTTTTAAAATAGACATTTTCTTAAGGACAGTGTGCAGATTAACCTACTTTGGCAGGTTTGGATTCTGAAAAATTCCCTGTGCTTATTTTACAAGCTGTTCTTTGCTTACAGAATTAATCTGCAGATAATAAAAATACGCTTTTATTAAAATGAATGCCATTTTCCATATAAAACATGTATTACCAAAAGGAAAACATAAAAACCCAAAAATTGTGAACAATGCAAACTCAACTATGCAATTACACTAAGTAGCCATCTACAAATCAATTACAGCATTGGAGAAATCAAACTGTACCAGTCTTGGGAGTGCCATGCCAGTAACTGAGCATACAAGTTTGACAGTCTGCCCATAATGAATGTAGCCATCTCTCACTGTGAATTCTTCTCCTTCTGATTCATCATCATCCACTGCATGGAACAGGAATTTTCACATTATTTGTTTTAATCACTGTTTTCCTCGACAGGAGGAACATTTACATCACACTATTACATCAAATACACACTCAGTAACAAAAAAATCTGCATATGGGCAATTAATATCGAGGAAAAAATGCAGGACTTTTTTGTGGGGATGGAGGGAGGGAGGTGAAAAAAAAGTTGTTTCATTTTTACTTACAGAGGTGAATGTAAAATGCTCCCCACTGTTGTGAACTGGCATGGAAATTACCACCTTCTACGTGCAAATATCTGGTGCTAACTGTTTGGGATCGAAGTCTATTAAATAGTGCCACTTTTGTCCCTGATGCAATACATACTGCAAGAAACACATACAGACTTGAGATTACAAAATTACTTCATTATTACATAGAAAAGTAACAAAAAGTCACAGATACAGTAAAATAAGCTGATGAATACTGGAAATCAAGAAACAATTCTCGACTATTGGTTAATGTAGAAAATATTTGTGACAGACCCAAAATAATCACAGAATTACAAGTGGGATAACATACACAGTGGCTGTTCTCCAAAGGCACGCTAGTTCACAGAATTTTGCCACTTAGCCAAATGGGCCAGTGCTTGCCAGCTGAAAACTCCTTCTGTTCACAGTTCTCCAACAACTGATTATTTGAGCAGAAGCTTTAGCTTGCCCTTGTGAAGTACTTAGGCCACCTTCAGTGATCATCTGAAGTATATTTGAAGTATAAAGAAAAATTATTCTTACAAATCACAACCAATTGAAAGGAAAACAGACAGAACTTCGTAAAATTGAAACCATGCAACTTGAAATCTCAGATCTGAACTTACTTATCATTCAAGAGAGAGAAACACTAAGTCTGCTCCCCTAAAAAAATCAGCAACTAGCATTTTGCCATCAAAACGAGCATGTTTCTTGCACTTGGTTCACGTTTACTACCGAAGAACGCTTGGTTCCTATTCACTGTCCACCAAAACTATGTCGGAATACAAAGTCAACAGTGCATACTCTGAGCCCACGGGAGTGAACTGCACAGGAACAGATTGCCTTTAGCCATATGGCTAAAGATCCACATTCCATAGGTGAATGGGTTCCAGCCCAACATAGATGGAAGAGCCTTTTAAAGCACTAGTGAAGAGAGAGAGAAAAACAAACAAAAAAGAGAGTCTCTCTTGAGGTGCTCCAGTGGTATGCAGGTAAAAACCTTGGAGGAAAGGCAAAAATGCTCCTGATTATACATTAGCACCAGAGGTATCTTTAGTTGAAAAAAACACAGTAAGCAAACAAACCTGGGTGAAATATCACCCTACAGATTTCTTAATTACTTAAAAGGAACCATGTAAAACACTAAAAATAAAACAAAACGAAAATGGCATGAGACAGTAAGAAGGTGGCTGTAATTTGACAAAGTGCAGTTTGGATAACATGATGTCAGTCATTTATCACAATCTGAAAACTATCTCTGTGATACTGGTCAAAACATCCTAAGCTGCCATGATCTTGTGCTTAAGAGATGCAACAGCTTAGAAAGCTGACGTAGAGCATTCTTTATGCATTTGTCTACAAGGATTCACTTCTGAGATCAAGTTTTTTTGGTGGACCTTTTATGTTTACTAAATAATTAACTGTGACTGTATAAAACTCAACAGTGTAACCTGTCCATATCAGAATACTTTAAAATACACTGATATGTACAGTTCTGAAATACATTAAAAAAAAAACAAATTGAAAATTTCATTTTCAAAATACATAAGAAAAATTAGTAGGAGGCAAAATGAATTGCTAAATAAAGAAAAGAACTGTAAAATACTTACAGTCTGCATTTTTCAGTGACTGTTTCTTTTTAGAAGGTTTGGAGATGACTTTGATTCGTTTACTGAGGAACACACCGATGTCGTCACTATTGCCATAGAACATTTTTACCGATAACATGAAGTGCTTTCTCTTGTCTGAGTCTGATATGTATAATGTTTTGGCAGTGCAATAATTCTGTAGGTGAAAACATACTGTTGTTTCTTCTGTCAAGTCAACCCAGTTCAAGAAACTGCGTATATTTAATTACGAACAAAACAGGAAAATTGTGCAATAGTTTCTAAAACATGAAACTGCTTTTTCCATCTCTTCCGTATGGCTATCTTTTATGACTGCTGTTCAGCTTTGGGAAGTTGCAGCACCTGACTTCAGTACTTCAGCGTCTTTCTAAAAACCCTTACCAGGACTGGAAAACAGATGATTAGAGACTATAGCTGTGTCAAAGCCATCTCCAAGTAGTTAAGAGCACGACTAAAAACTACATTTGCATAGAGCTATGCAGGCAGTACAGTGGGCATGCAGAAGAGGCTGCCTGTGCAGAAAACATGTTGAGCCAAACTTTTCTTGAAAGGATGGGAGATGATTGGGTTTTGAAACACTAGAAAGTTACTTTCGGTTAAGTGTTTATGCTAGGTGACAACAGGAGCTTAAAAAAAAAAATTTCAAAAGGGACTTTTATTACCCTTTTCCTATTCAGCAATACATGAAGCATTTCTAAGTAGACTGTATCGGAAATACTAGGTAGCTATAAAATATCGCTTAATAAAACAACCAGCTAAAACGAGCACTCACATGCTGCCTGCCAGTTCTATTCCAACTGTTCAAGTCATCACAAATATCATTAAAATAATCTTGTAGCAATTTACATCACTGTAAAAAAAAAAATCTACTAAATTTATTAAGATGCTATTTTAATTGTGGTTTTATGCAATGGTACTTAAAGACCACTTCTAGCAATGGATGTTGTTCAGATACTTCCTTGATGAGATTATCCATTCATGCAAGCCAGGGAGAGGGACATGAAGCGCGGGCCAGAAACCTTACTTCAGTTCACCACTGATGCCTACCAAATAACCTACCATTTTACTGACTCTGAATCAACAACCTACAAACGAAAGGTTAGTACCCTGCTATGAGCCCATGTAATTTCAACTGTTCTATGTATTTCTGAGGGATTTTTTTAAATCACTTACGGAATATCTACTACAGCATAACAAAAGTTATCAAAAAGAAGCAAGGATATTCCTTGAAATATGCGACAAGTAGCTATAATATCCTTTGCAGTAATCCAAGTGGTTTATTACAATTCCACTACCTTTCCCTCCAAGTTCAGCTGCTGCATTTCTTGGTCGCTGTTTCCTATTCCAATGAAGGCGCAAGGTTGTGACTCTTGCTCAGTGCAACCATCCCGTTCCATTTGCTCTTTTTTTTTCTTCCATCCACTGCCCATGAGATACACACATGGAGGAGGACAAAAGAACCTGAAAACAAAAATGCATTATGGGATTACACATAGCTTTCAAGAAAATTCTTGAGACAGAAAATATTGTGTACCCAAAGCTTTCTCAGCCCATTCATACTTCACATTCGAGTTTATACATGCATACTCCTCATTTGCCTTGAAGATTTTCTAAAATGCAAATCAAAAAAAGAGAAAAAGTAAGGAAGATCAGCATTAGATGCACTGTCACCAAGTATCTTTCGATTTCAATATATGATAGGTAACAGTCTGCAACTCTATAAACGAAAACTCTTTCTACCCTTACAAAGAAGAGGTTCTCAAAGAAAGCAAAAAGGCGTTAAAAGTGATGACTTTTGCTTTTGTAAGTGCTTAACGTGATGCAGTGATTAACACACAGAGAACAGTTCCACAAACTACTTTAATGGACAACTGCTGACTATAACTCCTAAACATTCAGTGTTTTGTCACTAGCAAGGACAGAATCTATTCCGTCCAAGCATAAATCTGTTTTCAGTTTTCAAACAATTTTACACCTTCCTCAGTAACTGTAAAAGGTATGATCTAGTCTTTAGCAGCACTGACTGAAATCAGGCTAGATGCTACTTACAGCAACATGCTCAAAATTAAATTCAGCATTATAATACAACATATTGGTCTTGAAGTTTCTCAATACTGTTAAAAAGACAAATTCTAATCACTTTTGGTTTTTAGTTTAGCCAACAGCTGCAGCGTTTTTACTATCACTTAGCTAAGATCAAAGTTTAAAAAGCAGAACAAGTACATCCAGTTGTGAGGTAGCTAAAGAGACATGAAAGGAGAAGATAAATTAAAAAGTTTAATTATTCTGTTTATTTCAGATTGGAAAAAACTTGGCACTTCTGAAATCCAGAGATGACTACTCCTACCTTACACACGTAGGCAGGCAGGATTTTTTTTATTTTTTTTTTTAAATTTGGCTTGGGACAACTGAATTGGTGAATTATTTCTATTAAACAGCACATAAACCTCAACCAGTGGAAGTCAGCTTTAGTATGAAAATCAAGTCCAATACACTCCTTTATCTCAGCTATTTAGCAAAATTACCTTTATTTGATAGATATAAAATGCTCTTCTAAGTAACAGAATTCTTAACAGATGAAATCCAAGTCCTGAGTTAATAATCACATAATAATAAAATGTAAATAGTAAGAATCCATATAAACACAAACATTTGTAATCATTTCAGCTAATGCACACAATTAACACATATTCTTTGTCAGAGAAACAAACGACCAAATTTTAAGTTTTACTGCACTTCAAAATGTCTCAGTGGTTATGGCAATGAGCAAAAATTACCTCCTGCAGGCAAAAAAAAAAATTAAAAAAAAACCCACAACTTTTTTGCCAATAAATCCACAGTGAAAATTTTTCACTTAATTGCATTCTTTTTAAAACAAGAAAACTGATGATATACCAATATGCATACAGCTTAAATAGCTATGAATGTCTTTCAAATGTATCATGCTCTGGTTCGAAAAAAAGACCACCTACGAAAGAGAATTCGTAGAAAGTAGCTTGCTACGTGGCATGAAAAGATCTGCATGTTTGAGAAGCCCATTAAATTAATTTGTGAAACTGCTCCTACATACTGCTTTTTAAACTTAATAGTTCTAAACCAACAGAAACGTTTGTTGTATTTCCTCCATTATGATAATGCAAAGACTTATAACAATTATTTTCTCCTTTTATTGCCTTCACACTGTTCCGAAGCATAGAAATTTTGATAAATATGGAATTATGAATTAACAGAAAGCCACTTGTAGAAGCAAACTATTAGGAGTTTAACAACTAACGTTTTTTTCATATGCTTATTGCATCAGTTTTAACTATTTGTATTTTATTCTTTGGGGTAATTATGGGTCATATGAAGGCTCTGGCATTTTTTTCTTCCAAATGAAAATGCAGAACACAGATAAACAAGGCAACAGGTAGAAACCTGCCAATTTGCAAAGCAGATGTTTCCTGATGGAACTGTCAACTTGACAAACTACGCAATAAGCTACCTCAAAAAGAAAATTTAACACTTTACCAGTAGCAGCAAAAGAGAGTAATTCCACTAGCTCAACCATGAATCATAAAGCTGAAATTTATAGCAACCTGACATTAGAATGGGTTGTTGTAAGAACAGAAGTTCCGAAATTTGAAAGTCACCATGAATAGGAAGAGTAAGCAGTAATAAACGTTATCAAACAGCACACACTGTTTGCTTGCTAGTACACCTTTTGCTTCTTGTCTTCTGCTACCTGACCTCTGTTCCAGCTTGCTTTGTGAAGATGCTGAATGATTCAGTAAGGGTATATTTAAGAACACCATAAGTGTCTGTTACATGCCAATTAAATCCTCCTCTTCCTAGGATAAATGTTTGATCTCAAAACCAGGAATGCATTTCCTACTTTTCAATTGCATTTATTTCAAACAGCACAGATGACATGACCTTATTTCCCTCAAATGCTTTTCTACCCTAAAAATGATCTTAAGAGGACTCATGTTTGTGAGGGAGACAGTGCAGTGACAAGGGTCAAGATCATAAAATTCTTTAAGTACAATGTGTATATTTAATTTCTACATGACCAATTTAATTTATATGCCCTATATCACTCCCCATCTAGATGTAAATACCGTAATTGTTAATAAAAATATATTCTGAGGCTCATCTGCTGGTCGCTGCAACTCTTGGCACGTTCCAGGAAAACAGAAGACCAAAACAGAGCAAGAAAAAACAGCTTTAGCATTAAACTGAGAAAATTTCTCCTGTAGGCAACCGTGATCACATTTTTAAAAAATACAGATACACACACACACACATATATATATATATATATGGGTGGGAAGGAAGGAAAAGAGTAAGAAAGAGTTGCATTTTAATTAGACGGGCAAGGGGTCAAGTGAGGGCAATGATCATGCCCAAGTACTGTTTAGGAGGCCTACTTTACTTTGCCATCCTGGATACAGAAAACACGATGGTGGTCTTCTATGAACAATACTTTTCAAATGGGGATTTATAAACTAACTCCCAAGGTTATGAAATGCAATTTTGGGGGCAAGAAATTTCAAGTAACACATGCATTTATTCAAGAGTTAAGCTTTTAGAAACAATCTCAGATTGCCAGTAAAAGCACACCACATATCTAGTCAGCTTCTGAGCTCTCAACTCAAATGACAATACAAGACCCTTTCAGTGTTAAAAGAAGCATCCCACTAATTTTATTCTCAGCAATTATAAGCTATTTCCAATAAAGAAATTACACACAGACTAAAAATTAATATAAACCGTTATTAACAAAGCAATGCTTTGCAAAAAGAAACCAAACTCCTTGTATTCCAAGTAGGTACAACACCATAAAGCAAACATCACACATTTACCTTTCTTCCTCATGTACTCTTTTGTATTTATCTTACTGGTTAGAATACGAGGAAAAAAAATCTCAACCTTTTTTCACAGACTCACAGAATCATTAGGTTGGAAGAGACCTCTGAGATCATCAAGTCCAAACGTCAACCCAACACCACCATGCCCACTAAACCATGTCTACAAGTGCCACATCAACAAGTTTTTTTGAACACCTCCAGGGACGGTTACTCCATCACTTCCCTAGGCAGCCTGTTCCAACGTTCGACCACCCTTTTAATAAAGAAATTTTTCCTAATGTCTGATCTAAACCTCCCCTGGCACAACTTGAGGCCATTTCCTCTTGTCCTATCACTTGTTATTTGGGAGAAGAGACTGACCCCCACCTCACTACAACCTCCTTTCAGGCAGCTGTAGAGAGCAATAAGGTCTCCCCTCAGCCTCCTCTTCTCCAGACTAAACAACCCCAGTTCCCTCAGCCGCTCCTCATCAGACCTGTTCTCCAGGCCCTTCACCAGCTTCGCTGCCCTTCTCTGGACACGCTCCAGCACCTCAATGTCCTTCTTGTAGTGAGGGGCCCAAAACCACACACAGTATTCGAGGTGCAGCCTCACCAGTGCCGAGTACAGGGGCACGATCCCCTCCCTACTCCTGCTGGCCACACTATTTCTGATACAGGCCAGGATGCTGTTGGTCTTTTTGGCCACCTGGGCACACTGCTGGCTCATGTCTGCCCAGGTCCTTTTCCACTAGGCAGCTTTTGAGCCACTGATCCCCAAGTCTGTAGCGCTGTATGGGGTTAGTGTGACCCAAGAGCAGGACCCAGCACTTGGCCCTGTTAAACTTTGTACAGTTGGCCTCAGTCCATCGATCCAGCCTGTCCAGATCCCTCTGCAGAGCCTTCCTACCCTCAAGCAGATCAACACTCCCACCCAATTTAGCGTCACCTACAAACTTACTGAGAGAGCTCTCGATCCCCTCATCCAGATCATCAATAAAG